CTGGTGCTGGTGTCACTGCTTCGCCGCGACTGTTCTTCGCTCCGTCGTCACCTTCGTCTCTACCACCGCCTGGCTCAGTGCTTCGCCAGGTTCTTAGCCTCCTGTCTTCTACTGGTCTTCCGTTACAGCCTGGCTCACCGCTGCCTGCTCCTGCTCCTTACCCTGAGCTGACAGGCGGTCTTGCTGAGCGTCGTGAGCCTGCGTCTCGTCCTGTCTCGCCTGTTCGCACTGTCCGCACTGGTCGTACTGGTCGTCGTGTTCCTCGTGAGCGTCCGCCGGCTGTCCCCGGCACACACCTCATGGCCCTGCGTCCTTCCTCTGCTCCGCAGCGTGTTCCCCTGCCGTCCCCTCCTGCGTCTTCTCTGCCTGACGTTCCAGAGCCTGAGTCTGACCGCGCTCATGCTGCTCACCCTACTGTCACGCGTCTGCTAGCCACAGTTGTCACTGACCCGTCGTTTGAGTCTGCTGCTGCGTCTGCCTTAGTCGCTGAGCTTGTTGACTTTGCTGCTGCCTGTCGTCTAGACTACGCCGCTAGTCTTGTTGCTGAGTCTGAGTCTGTCTGTCCTCCATCCGTCGGGGGTGAGTGTGCTCTTGGCACGGACGTCCTTGAGGCCAGGCAGGATGACCTTGAGTGTCTTGCAGCCGCTGCGCCTCATCTCGTGTCCATGCTGCTTGCCCCTGAGGGAGACCCGGATGCTCCAGACATCCCGACCCCGCGCTCTTACGCTGAGGCGATAGAGGGTCCCTACTCCTCTCAGTGGCAGACAGCCATGGACGCAGAGACGGCATCCTGGAAGTCCACAGGCACTTACATCGACGAGGTTCCCCCACCTGGGGCGAACATCGTCAGTGGCATGTGGATTTCCAGGGTGAAGCGGCCGCTGGGTTCTCCGCCTGTCTTCAAGGCGCGTTACGTTGCACGAGGTTTCAGTCAGCGAGAGGGAGTAGACTTCTTCCAGACCTTCTCCCCCACCCCGAAGTTGACCACTCTTCGGGTGCTGCTGCACGTTGCCGCTCAGCGTGACTACGAGCTTCACTCTCTTGACTTCAGCACAGCCTTCTTACAGGGCAGCCTGCACGAGGAGATCTGGCTGCGCCGCCCACCTGGCTTCACTGAGTCGTTCCCTCCTGGTACCCAGTGGAGCCTCCGGCGGCCGGTCTACGGTCTCCGCCAGGCACCACGTGAGTGGCACGACACACTGAGGACGACACTTGCGGCTCTTGGGTTTGCTCCGTCGACTGCTGACCCGTCGCTGTTTCTGCGCACCGACACTTCGCTGCCGCCGTTCTACATCCTCGTGTACGTCGACGACTTGGTCTTTGCCACTGCTGACACTGAGGCTCTCGCCCTGGTGAAGTCGGAGCTGCAGAAGAGACACACGTGCACTGACCTGGGTGAGCTGCCTTGGCTTGCAGATCACCCGGGAGAGAGCACGCCGCACCATTACACTGACTCAGTCACACATGGTGCAGCAGGTCCTTCAGTGCTTCGGCTTCACCTGGTCCTCGGCACAGGCCACTCCTCTGGCTACAGGTCACTCTCTCTCAGCTCCACCTTCGGACGAGTCCGTAGAGCCGAGTGGTCCTTACCCAGAGCTAGTGGGCTGCCTCATGTACCTGATGACCTGCACTCGTCCTGACCTTGCGTACCCTCTTGGCCTTCTGGCTCGCTACGTGGCTCCTGGTCGGCACCGAAAGGTGCACATGGATGCTGCTAAGAGGGTACTGCGCTACTTGTGCAGTACATCGGGCATGGGGCTCGTGCTTGGAGGATGGGGCGACGTTGTCCTCACTGGGCACTCGGACGCTTCTTGGGTTGACGACCAGGCTATGCAGCGATCGTCACAGGGTTACACCTTCAGCCTTGGCTCTGGCTCTGTTTCTTGGCGGTCTAGACACTTGTCCTCTGTTCTCGGCTCCAGTTGTGAGGCTGAGATCTATGCCACAGCCATGGCTGCACAGGAGTTACGCTGGCTCACCTACCTGCTGACCAACTTGGGAGAGAGGCCTCGTTCTCCTCCAGTGCTGTACGTCGACAACAAGGCCGCCATTGCCTTGTGTCAGGAGCACAGACTGGAGCACAGAACGAAGCACATCGCTCTGCGTTACTTCCTGGCTCGAGAGTTGCAGCAGCGTGGTCAGCTTCGTCTTGCTCACGTGGCCACTCGGGCCAACACTGCTGATATATTCACCAAGGCGCTTCCGTCTGGTGATCATCAGCGTTTCTGCACTCTGTTAGGCCTTGTGCCCACGTTTCCTCACTTGCTATAGACTTTGCTTGTACTGTGATCTATATATATACCTGCATGCTTGCTCTGCTAGGTAGAGATCACTGTGCTGTTGTTGTTGCATATATACCTCTGCATGTGAACTGGCCTTGTGGCCCTTTGGTTGTGCTCAGTATGTGTGGTGACGTTGTGATGCACCCTGAGCTTGCTTTGCTTCTCTTGACTGGTCTTGTGACCCCTTGCTCTCCCCCACTTTGCCTATGGGGGTGTGTCAAATTATATGCATGTTATATATGTGTAGGCTGTAGTTGGGTAGCCAATATGGGGTACAGCCCCTTTTAGGGTTTCATACTTGTACCCAACTCTTTCATAGTTCAGTCATTCTTGTCTCTAGATTCTGACAGTGTGTTGTTGGAATAAGGATCATTGGATAGGATAAGTGTGCTAGAGTTTGGTAGCGGAAGTCTTGTAGTGGTAGTGGGAACCTTTTGCATAGTGAATGTAGATGACAAGATTGATTAAAAGAGAAAATTACACACAATACATAGATCTAGCTAGCCATGTACCCTGAGGGGTACATTCCCTTATTATAACTGTAATACAAGCATTGCTACAATAACCCTGACTCTTGCTCTTCTCTTGTTATCGGGTCGCTGCATGTAACTGTACAGACAGTTACGCCTGTTGCCATTCTTCGCTGGTAACCGTTCGGTCCAGGTTGGTCAACTGTCGCGACGGTTGACTTGCGACTGTTGACCTGCGTGCCCTATATGGGCTAACGCGATACTGCTGCTGTTGTTGCTTCGGTAGTAGCGGGTGCGATACTGCTGCACCTTCGGGAATGCTTTAGTTAATTCCCTGATTACTCCAACACTCCACTTCATTCCTGGAGGTGCGCCACGTGGCCCTTCTTGATGACTCCGCAGAGGTCCATGCAGTACTGGAACTTCTGATAGCAATTTCTTCGTCAGAAAGTCGGCTGCCATTTCGCTAGTTTGGCAGTAGGTGAGTTGGACTTTGCCTTTGTCGATTTTGTCCTTGACGAAGAAGTAACGGAGGGCGATGTGTTTCGTGCGGTTGACGAAGTCGGGCTTGTTCGCGATTTTGATCACGCTCTGGTTGTCGCACAGTAACTTGAATGACCCATTCATCACCATCTTCGTTTCTTGTAGGAGCTCCGTGAGGTAGAGTCCTTCGCAAACTGCTGCACTTGCTGCGATGAACTCGGCTTCTGCTGACGAAAGGGCGATGAGCTCCTGCTTCTGTGAGTTCCAGGAGATGGTTCCCGCAGGTTCGAGCTTGAAAATAAATCATGTGCGGGACCTCCTGTTGTCTGCATCCCCTGCGTGGTCTGCATCCCATGCGTGGTCAGCGTCCACGTAGCCGGTAAGCTGCAGAGTAGCTGTTAGATTCGCCTTGAAGGTAAGGCTGACGTGGTGTAGAGATGAAGTACTGTAGGGCGCGTCGTAGGTCCGCCATGTTCTCCCCTTCAGGTCGGCGCAGGTACTGGGCGAGCTGGCTAGCGGCATATGATAGGTCCGGGCGGCATGTGACGGCGGCGAAGAGCAGACACTCGAGCTGTTGCTGGTAGAGACGGTGGTCGGCAGCGGATAGTGGGGTGGTATCGGGTTCGCGGTTAGGAGGAGGGATGGCGGAAGGGAGTAGTGATGCCTACGGGAGCGATGCCGAACTTCTTGGCAAGTGTCTCGGCGCACTTCGCAGCGGACAGATGAATCGTGTCGGCCGACTGCGTCATGTTGAGACCCAGAAACTGGGTGACGTTGTGGTTCACGGTCACCTCGAGTTTCTGCTTGATGTCGCTTTCGAAGCGATCGAGCAGCTCCACGTTGTTGCCGGTGTAGATCAGATTGTCCACGTAGGCGACGAGCAGGTTGAAGTTGCCGCAGGACTCTGTTATAGTCACAATAGGCTTGAATGTGCCTAAAACGAAAGATAGAGAGCACAGACGGATTTCTGCACAGCGGCTTCAAACGTTGATAGCGTTCTGCTCACAGCTGCAAATGACCTGATTCAAATTGGATCTGGAGCGTCTTCACGTCGTCTACAATTAGCAATTTAGATTGCACGATTTGATAAAGAATTGACGACACAGCGTCGGTTTGAACGAACGGTACTATGGCAGCCACTATAGTCTTAGAACACAAGATAGGAAGAGTTACGAGTTGGGAATGACTCCCAGCTCCTACAAACCCCAAGAGCCGAGGTACAGTGATGTGGAACAGTGCCACACTGTCCCCAACCACGAAGGGTCTCGAAACTACCCTTCACTAGGGCCTACACCAAGTGAAATGTTACACTACACAAAGTAATGTAACTATCTTCAATATCTTGAGGTGTACCCTTTTGGCAAGCTTCGAAATCACTTGAGGCTTGACACCAAGGCTCGGGCTCTTCATCACAAACTCATCCTTGAGTTCTTGATGGGTCTGCTGCACACACCTGCGACACGCCGAACGTTCGACACAGGACAAAATAGAAACCGCGCACGACAAAATAGAAACCGCGCGCGAGACACAAACGACCGCGTAACACGCGTCTAGCGATAACTCGCTATTGACTCGACACACACACTCGACATCATGACTCAACATTCACACACAATTATAAGCATGAAATATATATTATCCCATGCCCTCATACCATTCCATACACACACACATTCACGCACACGGACAACAAGCCGAGTGCAAACCGTAGGGTTGCACCAACAAACTCCCCCTCGGATTGTTGGCCTTAGGATATGTTGCTCTCTCAGTTCAGAGCCATCCCAGCCAGCTTGCAACACTTCCAATGCTGCTGCTCCACCAGCCTCTTGGTCATCATGTCAGCCGGCTGCCCCGTGGTCTTCACGTAGCGCAACTCAACTTCACCCGCGGTTACCATGCTCCTCGTCCAATGCCACTTCACTCTCATGTGCTTCGTGAGTCCATGCAACACAGGGTTCTTAGCAAGAGCAATGGCACCCTGGCTGTCACAGTACAGTGGGGTAGGTCCTTGCTGCTCCTCCCCCAATTCAGCCAACAAACGCCGCTGCCACACAATCTCCCGTACGGCACGGAAGAGTGCCATGTACTCGGACTCCACCGAGCTCAAAGCTTGGTCAACCTGCTTCTTGCTCTCCCAAGCAGTTGGGCCTCCACCAACACAGCATATGAAGCCTCCCACACTTGTCATGTCCTCTGGTTCTGATGCATATGAAGCATCCGAGTAGGCGGTGAGGAACAAACGCCCGGGTTCAACACCATCCGCGCCCTTTTGGCGCCTTTGTGCCGCCGCCGAGTATTGCAGCCCAACGGTCGGTGTTTGGCCAAGATACTTGGCCACCCTCATTCCAGCTGCTACCTGCTCCTCATTAGGGCATTGCACAACCCTAGCCAGCTGCCCGGTAGCAAACGCGACGTCCGGTCGGGTGTTTACCGCCGCATACATGAGGCTGCCCACCAACGAGTGAAATCGGCGCCTCTCCTCTTCACCAACGCTCTCCTCCTCTGGTCCCTTCACACACTTGAACCCAGAGGGAAAGGGTGTAGCCACATGGCCTTCACTCTGCCCAAAGTTGGCAGCCAATGCCTCCAGGTACTTTCGTTGATGCACCCGCATGCACCGCTTCTCCACATCTCGTTCGATGTGGAGCCCAAGGTAGAAGCTCACGTCACCAAGGGCCTTGCACTTGAACTTGTCTTGAAGCTTCAGCATCACCTCCTTCACAAGGTCAGAAGAGGGTGAGAAAATGAGGATGTCATCCACATAAACCACCATGAAACTCCTCTGCTCCCCCTCGCCAAGCATGAACAAGGAGTGATCGGCCGTTGAGGGAGTGAAGCCGATCCCCTCCAACACTTCGCGCAGCTTCATGTACCATTGCCTAGGGGCCTGCTTCAGCCCATAGAGGGCCTTCTTCAGCTTCCACACTCTGCCACTACCATCATCAAACCCCTCTGGCTGCGCCATAAAAATCTCCTCCTCAAGGATGCCGTTAAGGAATGCCGTTACGATGTCCATTTGCTTTACTACCCATCCTTTGATGGCGGCTCCCGCGAATAGGGTTCGCAGCGTCGTCGGCTTCACCACAGGGGCAAACAGCTCCTTGAAGTCCACCTTCTCCTTCTGCTGGTACCCCTTGGCTACAAGCCTAGACTTGTAGCGCTCGATCTTGCCGTCGGCATCCGACTTGATTTTGAAGAGCCACTTGGACGTTATCGCCGTACGCCCCTCCGGTAGCTCCACCAATTCAAACGTGTCATTCTCCTCAATGCTCTTCAGCTCACTCTCCATGGCCTTCTTCCACTCCTCAGCATCACTACTCTCCAAAGCCTCCTTGAGAGTTGCTGGTTCTCCCGGCATCTCCACCGGAGAGAAGAACGCGAAGGCACACTCCTCGTAGTCACTCTCCTCGTCGTCTCCGACCATCATTGCCGCTCCGGCCAGGGCTGTCTTGCCCTGCTTTCCCGGCGCATCATAGGTCAGCCTATTAGGGGGTTGAACTCTCCTCTTCCCCCTTCCTTCCTCCTCAGCTGCAGGGACTTGAAGGCCTTGGCGTTGCTGCGGTGTGGCTCGAATCCGTGGAGCACTCGTAGTACGGGAAGGGAGTGACGGTGCACGCTCGCTCACTTGCTGCACCTCCTCCTCTTCTTCCTCTGCATCATTTGCCTCCTCTCCCCCATTCACAAGGGAGGATTGCCTTGTGGTAGTGCTGCCGCTGCTCAGCTCCAAAGGCATCTCCACATGCTCCAAACCGGAACTCTTCACCTCCCCAAACCGCACGCCTATCTTCGCCTCATTCTCCGCCTTCCAATCCTTGTACATGAAGTTCTCCATGAACTTGCAGTCCCTGCTCACCAAGAACTTCTTGGTGAATGGGTCCGAAAGAAGCCATCCCTTGCTGTTTTGAGCCATGCCCAAGTGCACGGCCCACACCGCCTTGGCACCAAGCTTGTTGTGCCGAAGATGCTTAGGCACGAGCGCCATGCACATGCACCCGAACACCCGAAGCATATCCACCTTTGGCTTCCTTCCTAGCCACTCCACATAGGGCACCCATTTGTCTGCTCCCACATGAGTCAAGGCTCTGTTCTTGGCCACACACGCGCTCCGCACCGCATCAGGCCAGAAATAGTCGGGTAGCCCGGCTTCAATGAGCAACCCGCGTGCCGCCTCCGTGATTGTGCGGTTCGCTCGCTCGGCGATGCCGTTCATTGCAGGGGAGTATGGCATGGTGAGGGAGTGCCGAATACCATTCTTCTTCAGCCACAACCCAAACTCCTTGCTCAGGAACTCTCCCCCTCGATCGGTGCGGATTGACTTGACTAGACGGTCTTGTTGCCGCTCCACCATCGGGAACCAATCCGTCTTCAACGTTTCAGCCACGTCGCTCTTCTTGGCCAGCACGTACACCCAAGTCATGCGGGTGTAGACGTCGACAATGGTGAGAAAATACTCAGCTCCAGCAGCTCCAAGCTTCAGGGGGCCCACCACGTCCATCACCACCTCATCAAGCGGTGCCTTTGCCGTTGCCTCCGAACTAGGGAACGGAAACCGGGTGAACTTGGCTTGAATGCACGTCGGGCAGCCAAGCACCTCATCGGGCTCCCCCTTCATACGTATGCCAGCAACCATCTCATTCTTCACTAGCTGCTGCAAGATGGGCAGGGCCACATGCCCCATGCGCCGATGCAAGGTGATCCAATCACACTCCCCCGTAGCCGAAGTTGGATTGGAGAATGCCGCGCTCGCAATAGCGCCCCACATACTCTCTCCGTAGTCCTCCTCCGCTGCTGCCTCTGGGTTCTCCTCACCCTTTTGCTGCTCCTTGGTTGCTGCACCACTCTCGTTAGGTTCATTGAACTTGCTGGTCCCTCCAGGTTTGCTCTTCTTGAGCTCATTCTCCTTAGCGCGACCGTTCGCGCCATCGTCGCTACCGACCGCTCCATCCTTGGTGCTGATGCTTGCTGCCACTTGCCTCTCCTTAGGCATAGGGACCACTGGGATCTGCCACATCTCATTGTAGACATCCCTGTCCTCATGAAGGTCCCAAAGAATTCGATCGCCAAGCCTTGCGGTGTAGGTCTTGGCTCCCTTCGAGTTCGTGTCCATGCCGGCCTTTGCCAACCGCCGCACGGAAATCAGGTTTGCAGCAAGGCTGGGCACCCAAAGCACGTTCTTGAGGCCCACCATCTTCCCATCAGCACCCTTGAACATGGCCTTGCCCATGCCTTTCACCTCTGCTCGCTGCCCCAAAGCCGATGTGACATGCTTCACCGGTGACGGCTCGAGTTCGGTGAGCAAGTCCGGGCGAGGTGTCATGCTATAGGTAGCGCCACTATCAATCACCCAATAGTCCAGGGGGTGTAGGGTCACCTTCCCCACAGCTGCTGGCTCCTCAAAGCCTTCATCCTTCTCTGGACCAGCCGGTACTTGCGTCGACACGAAGTAGAATAGACCCGGGTATCGATCGTCGCTCGGGTCCTTGTCGTTGTCTCCGCTCTTCATGTTTGCAGCTCCGCCACCGCGACCGCCACAGCCTCCACGGCCTCGTCCTCTCCCTCCTCCTGCTCCTCTACCCTCTTGGCCTTGAGCAGGGGTCCAACCATCAGGGAGTTTGTGGCAGTCGCGCCACATGTGTCCGCTCTTGTGGCAATAGTGACACTCGCCGTCGAATCGGCCGCGACCGCGTCCGTAGCTCTTGTCGTCGCTGCCGTAACCGCCACTCCTGCGGCCTCCGCCGAAGTTGCTGCCACCAAACCTTCCTCCCCCTCGTCCTCTGCCTCTTCCTCGACCATATCCACGGCCGATGCTCGCTGCCCCAGCGCCATCCGCACTCGCCAACTCACGGCGGCGGAAATCCTCTTGAAGGATAGCTCGCTTCACGTCTTCAAGCGAGAGGCGGGGCAAGTCGCGATTAAGGTTGATGATGAGCGAGGACCATGACTCTGGGAGTAAGGCCAGCAACTTGGTCTTCTTTTGGATCTCACTGTAGTTCAAATCAGCTCCCTCAAGCCGCGTCAACAAGTCGAAGAATTTCTGCACCCCTTCTTCAACCGCTTCGTCTTCTTCAATTCGTAGTGCCGCCATTTGCCGTTCCAACACCACCGCTACCGCCGCTGTTGCAGGAGCATGTACACCCTTGAGAGCAGCCCATGCCTTTGGTCCTTTCTTTGGTTCACGCTGGAATGGCTTGATGTGACGGATCTGACTGCTCCCCAACGCTTGCCCAAGTAAGAGATAGCCTTGTGCGCTCTTCCGCACCCACGGGCTCTTCTCCGGGTCGTTCTCGGGGCGCTTCTCCGTTCCTTCCATCACCTCCAGCAGGTCATAGTGGTCAAAGATGTTCTCCATCTTGAAGGAACATTCAGCAAATTTGTCACCGTTGAACTTGTCAAGCCCAAACACCCTAGGCTCATCCCTAGGTGGGCCAAGACTTGGTTGCATGGGCGCCATGGCTGAATCACGGGGTTGGCCTTGAGCTTGAGCTTCTCCACTGCCACCAGCACCTCTGCCACCCCTTTCCTCAGGTCCAGACATTGTCGAAACTGCTCCAAGGGGCTCTGATACCACTTGTTATAGTCACAATAGGCTTGAATGTGCCTAAAACGAAAGATAGAGAGCACAGACGGATTTCTGCACAGCGGCTTCAAACGTTGATAGCGTTCTGCTCACAGCTGCAAATGACCTGATTCAAATTGGATCTGGAGCGTCTTCACGTCGTCTACAATTAGCAATTTAGATTGCACGATTTGATAAAGAATTGACGACACAGCGTCGGTTTGAACGAACGGTACTATGGCAGCCACTATAGTCTTAGAACACAAGATAGGAAGAGTTACGAGTTGGGAATGACTCCCAGCTCCTACAAACCCCAAGAGCCGAGGTACAGTGATGTGGAACAGTGCCACACTGTCCCCAACCACGAAGGGTCTCGAAACTACCCTTCACTAGGGCCTACACCAAGTGAAATGTTACACTACACAAAGTAATGTAACTATCTTCAATATCTTGAGGTGTACCCTTTTGGCAAGCTTCGAAATCACTTGAGGCTTGACACCAAGGCTCGGGCTCTTCATCACAAACTCATCCTTGAGTTCTTGATGGGTCTGCTGCACACACCTGCGACACGCCGAACGTTCGACACAGGACAAAATAGAAACCGCGCACGACAAAATAGAAACCGCGCGCGAGACACAAACGACCGCGTAACACGCGTCTAGCGATAACTCGCTATTGACTCGACACACACACTCGACATCATGACTCAACATTCACACACAATTATAAGCATGAAATATATATTATCCCATGCCCTCATACCATTCCATACACACACACATTCACGCACACGGACAACAAGCCGAGTGCAAACCGTAGGGTTGCACCAACAGACTCGAGGCGGTACATCCCTTGATCGTGGGGCAGCTGCTGGAATCCGAGCTCGATGAGCACGGTGTAGAGGTACTTCTGCCACAGGCGCGGTGCCTGCTTGATCCCATAGAGGGACTTCTGGAGGAGGCACACGGCATCGATGTCCTCTTCGAAGGCGTGCGGCTGCTCGACGTAGATGAGTGCATCGACGATCGCATACAGGAATGCGTTTGAGACGTCGATCTGGCGGAGTGGACGCTGCTTCACGGCTGCGATGAAGATGAGGATTCGCACGGAGGTGTGGCGTCCGACAGGTACGAAGGTCTTGTCATATTCGACAAATTGGGTTTGTTCGAAGCCGCGAACTACCCAGCGTGCTTTGTATTTGTCGATGGCGCCGTCCGCGAGAGTCTTGATTCTGAACACCCATTTTCCTGTGAGAATTTTTCTCCCCTTTGCGTGTCGGCGTGGTACCAGCTTCCAGGTTCCACGCCTCTGGAGTGCGGCGACTTCTGCGGCCATGGCTGCTCTCCATTTCTCGATATTGGATCCTTGCAGAGCCTGGCGAACGGTGGTGGGCTCAACCAGCTGCTTGTTACCACGGATGGCAACGGCGAGACCGAGGATGCGAAGTCAGGTGAGATTGGATTCGGCTGTGTTGGTTACTTCGACCACATTGTCATCATCACCAGGGATGTCGCGAATGGTGTCGCGAGAGGAGTTGCGGTTGGGGTCTTCTTCCATGGGTGAGTGCATTTCTGCAATCATGTTGTGCTTGTACTGCTCTGTGTTGATCGAGTTCAGTTGGGGAAAAGGTCGCTGTACCGAACTCCTCCGTAACGGGTACGAAGGGTGCATCTCCTGCAGTTGGCTCCTCTTGCTGTTCTCCTGCCACGTCAACCTCGTCCTGATCGCTTGCGTAGCTGTGCTGTCCTTGGAAAATGTTGTCTGGTGCGTTTTGTGCATTGCGGTGCTGGCGGTATAGTGGCAGGGTCAGTCTTTCGTAGAGGATGCAGTCACGTGAACGCGTGAGTTGGTGGGTGGCGAAATCCAGA